GGGGTGCGTGTGTGCAGGCGGGGTGTGCGCAGGGGTGCGTGTGTGCAGGCGGGGTGTGTGTGCAGGGGTGCGTGTGTGCAGGCGGGGTGTGTGCAGGGGTGTGTGTGCAGGGGTGCGTATGTGCATGGTGCGTGTGTGCAGGGGTGCGTGTGTGTGGGCGGGGTGTGTGCAGGGGTGCGTGTGCAGGCGGGGTGTGTGCAGGGGTGTGTGTGTGCAGGTGCGGTGTGTGCAGGGGTGCGTGTGCCAGCGGGGTGTGTGTGCAGGGGTGCGTGTGTGCAGGCGGGGTGTGTGCAGGGGTGCGTGTGTGCAGGCTGGGTGTGTGCAGGGGTGTGTGTGTGCAGGGGTGCGTGTGTGCACGGGGTGTGTGTACAGGGGTGCGTGTGTGCATGGTGCGTGTGTGCAGGCGGGGTGTGCGCAGGGGTGCGTGTGTGCAGGTGGGGTGTGTGCAGGGGTGCGTGTGTGCAGGCGGGGTGCATGTGCGTTGCATGGGGCACGTGTGTGCACCCGGTGTGTGTATGCAGGGGTGCCTGTGCATGCGGGGTGCGTGTGCTCACACGGGGTTCGTCTCCGTGCACCTGTGGGCTGGCAGTGCCCGCCTGGGGCTGTGCAGACCTGGCTCGGGTGCCCTGCAGGCTGTGGTGCTCACTGGTGTTTCCCGGACCTGCTGGCCTCTCCAGCCCCTCAGCGTGGCCAGGGCCTCTCTGGGCCTCATGGTGCACAGTGGCCCAGGGCCAGGCCTGGCGTCTTGCCAGGACATCACAGATCTTTGTCCCTTTGCCTCGTGGCCGTGTCTCCCGGGTGACCTGCACGGCCACTCTGTGCTCCTGCTCAGGGCCCTCCGCCAGGCCTATGGGGTGTCCCCCATCTGCCTGTGGTGGCTGGGCCTGCCACGGTGACCGAGATGTCCTGGCCTCTGCAGAGGCGTTTTGCCCTCAAGTTCAGGTCTGTGTGTACCTGGAGCTGACCTGGCACGATGCTGTGCTGGGGTGGACGGTGCCACTGTATGCCGTGGAGTGGCAGTTGGGGCCACATCACCTGACTGAAAGCCCCCAGCCCTCTGGGCAGCCCAGAGCCTCGGTTGTTTGCTCCCAGCTGGGTGTGGCCCTGCTGGCATGGCTCCGTCAGTGATGGCGCTCGCTGTCCAGTGTCTGCCGTGGAGTGTCCCACCACGTGAATGAGCTGCTGGCCATGGAGGCTGCTGGCCTCTGCTTCTGTCCGGTGCCGCCTGTCCGCAGGGCAGGGCAGTGCCATTCCACCTCTCTTGGGGGTGGACAGAGAAGAGAAATGGACAGAGCAGAGGGCAACAAGGCGGGAGGGCGGAGGGGGACCGGGCGGCCGCCGGCTCTGAGACGGGAGCCACCGGAAAGCCCCGGAGGCCAAACGCGACACCGAGGGCCCACAGGTGGGGCCCATGGGCTGTGCTGACCGGAGCCAGGGCCGAGAGGACAGGCCACCGTCGGGGCCCGCGCCCCAGCGCGACCGCAGGAGGCCTCGGCCCGGAACAGCCCCCGGGTTTACACCGGGACAGGAGCTCCTGTGGCCGCGGTGGCGGCCGCTCACCCAGAGGGTGTCGCGGTGCCCAGGTGTAAGCGGAGCGCCCGCCTCCTGCCAACTCGCTGGCCGGGCGGACGGTCCCTGGGAGCCCAGACGGCGCTGGCCGGGGGGACGGTTCCTGGGAGCCCAGACGGCGCTGGCCGGGGGGACGGTCCCTGGGAGCCCAGACGGCGCTGGCTAGGAGCACAGGTCTTACTGGTCCCCAGAGGCGGAGTCAGAGACCCCCAGGGCTCACAGCTCCCCATGAGAGGGTGGAGGACCCCAACACTGGTCTTGGGGCCACCAGGTGGGGCCGTTGGGCCTCCTGCAGGGTGCTTGCTGTCACAGGAGGCCACCCCTTCCCTGGAGGGGGCCCTCCTTTCTTCATGGTTCGGTCAGAGCACACCCCCCAACACATACACACACAGAGCACACACACACACAGAGCACACACCCCCAACACACACATACCCCGCTTATATCTTCCCACGGAGCCCCACCCACACGTCTGATTGGACCATTTTCAGTCCTGTGGCTGATTGGACCTTTGAGCACCAATCAGCTCATAGCTCTCACCTGATTGGTCCATTCCCAGATCCCCAGCCCGCCTGGTTGCATAAAAGGGTTCTGAGGAGCATCTGCCAAAACTGGCTTGTGTGGGAGCAGGAGGGAGCCCCTGACGGTGCTGCTGCTGCTTCTGCCACCCAGGCTGCCGGGCTGTGGTGGCAGCTTGGTGTTGGGCTCACGCTGCTGTGGAAGTCAGTGGGCAGGTTTCAGGAGGTCAGCATTCTCTGGGGACTGTCTGGAAGTGGGGTTGCCAAGTCCCACGGGGTGACCTGCCAGGAGCCTCCCGGGGGACTGAGCCATCTGTGCAGGGCATGCGGGCGCCTGGCTGGCCGAGGTCTTTGCCCGGCTCTCCCCATCTGTGTGCTCACCTGATGGCCAGGTGTCCACCCTGGCAGTCCTGTGCGGCCCGGCACACACCGTCATCGGAGGTGCGCCTCGAGCCGACACCCCGAGTGCGGATTTGCATGTTTGCACTCCTGCCTGCGGCCTGGGATCCTGTGTTTTCCATGAAGCATTTCGTGGCTCCCCCGGGTTTGGCCTGTGGTGGGCCCAGCTTCCGTTTCCAGGTGTGGACATCCCGTTGCCCCAGAGCCACTTTGGAGGGCTGACCCTTTCTGCTCCGAGTGGACCCTGGGTCTCATGGAGCCTCTGACCGGCCTGTGTCCTGTTCCAGGGGCCAGTACCTGGACTACGAGAAGGAGGAGGTGGAGGCCCAGCCCCGGCAGTGGAAGAAGTATGACTTCCACTACGACAACGTGCTGTGGGCCCTGCTCACGCTCTTCACGGTGTCCACGGGGGAGGGCTGGCCCATGTGAGTGCCCGCCAGTGTGGAGGGACCCTAGTGTCCGTGCCTCCGGCCAGAACTCCCTGGAAGCGTTTCCTGGAGTTTGACCAAGGGCCCTGCATGGTACCCCTGGATCTCCCTTGTCGGGGGATAGGTGGGGCAGGTGGGCTCCTCGCGTGGGGCCCCTACACTGGACGGCAGGCCCTGCTCTGGGCTGGGAGGCCCCCTTGGGAGTGGGCTCAGTGCTCTGTGGGCCCTGAAGGCAGCAAGCTGGGGATGTGTGGCGGGCGAGTGGTGTGGGCAGGGGACTGGGGTGCTGTGGAGGCAGAGACAGGGTGGGCAGTGGGCTGAAGTCCCCACCCGTCTTTGGGGTGGAGTCTCCTGCACCGGGAGCACCCCTGGGCCACCCGCGGCCTCGGCCACCCCAGGCTGGTGGCGGCACCGTGCTGACTCGGCCCCCCCCAGGGTGCTGAAGCACTCCGTGGACGCCACCTATGAGGAGCAGGGCCCCAGCCCCGGCTACCGCATGGAGCTGTCCATCTTCTACGTGGTCTACTTTGTGGTCTTCCCCTTCTTCTTTGTCAACATCTTCGTGGCCTTGATCATCATCACCTTCCAGGAGCAGGGCGACAAGGCCATGTCCGAGTGCAGCCTGGAGAAGAACGAGGTAGGCCCCGCCCGCCCC